TTTGTTTTTCTTTATTTCTTTGTAAATGTTCATATGTATATCTTATGTATATAAAACACTAAAATGCCTGCACACTGGTGCATTTACAAATTGATGTTTTATATTCATTTCATTAAATATTTCTTTTACATTTCAGAATATAAAGCAATGTTATATATATATATATATATATATATATATATATATATATACAAAAAGTACCGATACGAATACCGTTAAAGTACCGGATCGATAAGCAGTATCTGTAAGAGTAGTAATACCATTAAAACCTTAACGATACCCATCCCTACTGATAACAATTGTTATAAATGCTCAAAATGTCTTCATTTTGTAGAGGAGGGCTGTGGTTTCTTTTTACATGAACAGGTGTGAAAGACCAATAACCATGGGAAAAACCATTTAAGACAGAAGAGAAAGTGCTCAGTGCTTCCCTTTGTGATCCTTTATGGGGAATGTGGTGTGTAAGAACCGCACCAACTAATGCCTTTTAGTTTGACCTGGGGTGAATAGCTGTGGCGATGCAGCTGTTCACAGATGTACTGTAGAACTAGTGCGAGTGTTGGATTCTTGATTGAAAGGGGGAACAGAACGAGAGAATAGAAAGGAAGGAAGTACGAGTTCTTTGTTTTCACATCCAGAGCTGAGCGTTTTGCCCATCCCAGCATTTTAATGTTCTTTGCTCTGTCTCACATTCCCGGTACTCTCACCTGTGCTGTGTAGCCGGATCTCTTTTGCTTCTAACGGCACCCACCAACCAGGTTCTTTGTGGTCACTAGTGCTCTTTATCTGCACACTGCATTTCTCCACAGAGCCTACGCATTCCTGACGAGATCCAGCTGCTCTCACAGGGCCCAGCTCTTGTCTGATTTGACAGTGATTTCACTGTAAATAAAGCAGTATAAATAAAGCCAAATAACCCTGCTGCTTGTCACGCAGCCGCCCCTCCCCCACCCCAAACTTTCCCGCTTCTTATCCGCTCGTGCATACAATACCACACATTGTAGCGCTACTTTAAATGGTCTTCTCAGCTGCCTACGCCCTCTTTCCTTTCCTTTCCCTCCCCCTAGCCACAAGAATCTGTGAGCACCCTCTCTCGTGAATGTGCCATGTGTTTATGAGCCTCACTCAGCTGAATTCTCATCACTGTGAGCCATGTGAAGACAAAAGCGGACTCAACCATACTGCTGTGGCGTACAGTGATGTTTTGATATTCTTAACCCTTTCTATCAATACATACAGTGAAAACTGTAATTACTTAACTTACTTGTAATACTTAATTACTTGTAATTACTTACCTGAACAGTAACGTTAGTAGACCTTCATGGAAAAATTAAAGCACTGTTTATTTCATTTGTATCTTTGTTTTATTGTATTTGTCAGTTTGTTTTACTTTATTTCTTTGTAAATGTTCATATGTATATCTTATGTATATAAAACACTAAAATGCCTGCACACTGGTGCATTTACAAATTGATGTTTTATATTCATTTCATTAAATATTTCTTTTACATTTCAGAATATAAAGCAATGTTATATATATATATATATATATATATATATATATATATATACAAAAAGTACCGATACGAATACCGTTAAAGTACCGGATCGATAAGCAGTATCTGTAAGAGTAGTAATACCATTAAAACCTTAACGATACCCATCCCTACTGATAACAATTGTTATAAATGCTCAAAATGTCTTCATTTTGTAGAGGAGGGCTGTGGTTTCTTTTTACATGAACAGGTGTGAAAGACCAATAACCATGGGAAAAACCATTTAAGACAGAAGAGAAAGTGCTCAGTGCTTCCCTTTGTGATCCTTTATGGGGAATGTGGTGTGTAAGAACCGCACCAACTAATGCCTTTTAGTTTGACCTGGGGTGAATAGCTGTGGCGATGCAGCTGTTCACAGATGTACTGTAGAACTAGTGCGAGTGTTGGATTCTTGATTGAAAGGGGGAACAGAACGAGAGAATAGAAAGGAAGGAAGTACGAGTTCTTTGTTTTCACATCCAGAGCTGAGCGTTTTGCCCATCCCAGCATTTTAATGTTCTTTGCTCTGTCTCACATTCCCGGTACTCTCACCTGTGCTGTGTAGCCGGATCTCTTTTGCTTCTAACGGCACCCACCAACCAGGTTCTTTGTGGTCACTAGTGCTCTTTATCTGCACACTGCATTTCTCCACAGAGCCTACGCATTCCTGACGAGATCCAGCTGCTCTCACAGGGCCCAGCTCTTGTCTGATTTGACAGTGATTTCACTGTAAATAAAGCAGTATAAATAAAGCCAAATAACCCTGCTGCTTGTCACGCAGCCGCCCCTCCCCCACCCCAAACTTTCCCGCTTCTTATCCGCTCGTGCATACAATACCACACATTGTAGCGCTACTTTAAATGGTCTTCTCAGCTGCCTACGCCCTCTTTCCTTTCCTTTCCCTCCCCCTAGCCACAAGAATCTGTGAGCACCCTCTCTCGTGAATGTGCCATGTGTTTATGAGCCTCACTCAGCTGAATTCTCATCACTGTGAGCCATGTGAAGACAAAAGCGGACTCAACCATACTGCTGTGGCGTACAGTGATGTTTTGATATTCTTAACCCTCGGCTCTGTGGGCCTCTAGATGGGGTCTGTAACAAGATCCCTCTCTCCCCCACCTCACAGAATGTGTCTCTCTTTCTCTTTGTTGAATGGAAAATAAGCAGACTACAAGAAATAGACGCAAGGAGACTGACAAAATGCATCCACACACCGCTTTAAGAGTCAAGATGAGGAAGAAATTTGTCGAAATATGTGAAAGCTTAAAAACTTGCTGGTTTCGTTTGTGCCATTAATAACAGTACGACCAACTGTTTTAAAGCTTTTCTTTCTCTCTGTGTTTTTTTTTTTATAGCTGGCTGGTTGTGTAATCTTGGGGGTTTCACTCTGGCTTCGTCATGACAATAAAACAAGCAGTCTTCTGGACCTGAAGTATGAGGGCACAGAAGCACCCAGCACCTTCTACATCAGTAAGAGATCAGTTTCTCGATTTCCCATTATTATCCTCTTTTCTCATCGAGTCTCATTTATTTTCCATCTCTCATTCCTCAGTCTCTCATCCCAGTCTGAAATCCTACCGCTATATGTGGTCACATAAAGTGGCTTGACTTTAACAAAGTCTCGTATGAATAATTTGAATGCATTTCTTTACCCAGGATTAATTGAGTGTTCTCAGTTTTTCCTCTGGGTGGCAAACATGTTTTATAAGCAGTTCTAATTAGCAATGCACTGAAATTTTGGCAACTGAAAAAAAAAAAAGATTTTCAGTTTCGGCTAAATGGTTTTTGGGTGCTGAAATCATTGTCACACTTCATTTAGACTATAAATGATGCGAATAGCAATATGTAAAATTTCTTCAGCTGAAATATTGAGAGGCAGCTCGTTGCCAAAGAACTTTACTAGGATTTGTTCAATTTATCACCTAGTACCGAAATTGAATTACCGAAACTATGTTTTCAGTTTCCGTTTTTTGCATCACTAGTTCCAGTATTTTCAGTGAGTGAACAGGCACACTGCCGCTAAGAATAAACACAGTAGTGTTAAACACAGATGCTGCTCTTGCCCAGTGATTCCTATTGCATATTTTTTATTTACTTTGTTTTTAAGTGGCACAAATATCCATTTTATTACATTTATACAGTATGTGTGTTAAAGGAAATAAAATTATAAAAATAAAGAAAGATCTTTTGCTCAATAAATATTTAGCTCACTGGGTAACTGTATTGGTAAGGAGCAGTGGACCCAGCAGTGACTCGCACCCAAATTAATTTTGTAATTTCACCCACAAGGGAAGTCAGTTGAACCACATAACAGAAGAAATGCTAACTTTAGTACTAGCTGATGGTTTTGTGTCTGTGTAGAAGGTTTAAAAGTTTTGCACTTTAGTTTCCACAACAGTATAGATGGTTCAGTTTCTTCCTAGTGATTGATGACAAGTAATTTTCCAAATACAAATCTACAGATCAGTTGACTTCCATGGAAAACTGATTGGATGGTTCACCTGGACATTTGTGAGGTCAGAAGTTAGTGTCAAGGACTCTTACAGATGCACAAGTGGGCTGTTTCTGATGGCAACTGTTAAAAGCATTTTGTTTATTCAGGAAGGCCTTGTGTCTGTCAAGGCACAGAGGTTAACAAGTGGGTAAACAATTCTCCAGTTCAGTCAAAGCTATTATAGGACCTTACTGAGGTGCGGATTTCAAGAGAGAAATCTCTTATCTATAGCTGAAGTGTCAACAAAAACTATTTAAAGGAATAGTTTATTCAGCTTTTTGTCATTTTTATGACTTTTTTTCTATAGGGCTTTTAATGCCCTGCAAATGTAAACATTGTGCTTATTATTGTTGTTATTGCAAGTTGTGTTAATTTAAATATGGCACCACCAAGGTTGGCTTGACATAGTTCAGTCGTGTAGGCCATTGTTTACCAGCTATCAGCTGGTATTTTTTTAAATGCAACATTCAATGAAAAATATACAGAATAAAAATATTCTCTAATATTTTAAAATTAAAGGCACAATATGTAAGATTTTTTTATTAAAATATCCAAAAACCACTAGAACAGTTATATATTTTGCTGACTTGTGTACTTACATTATCCCAAATGTTTTGAAGAATGTTTAAATCCAGAGAAATAAGCAATTTTAACTAGTGACACGGACCGTGTCTATAGTGTCATTGTGTTGCCTGCTAATGACGTCATACACCCTCGATTTCCGGTTTTGTTTTGTAGAAAACATGGAAACACCAAAGACGCTTTAATATGTTATGCGTTTTATTAGACAGGTGACGACCGCACAGCGTAGCATTATAACAGAACTAACAGAATCTAGAATGATAAAGCTGCTTTACCCCACATACTCGCAACCGGAAGGAGCGGACGCGGTCGACTGTGGCATAATAAAAGCTCCACTGCTTTCGAGCCGTGTGTCACGCTCATTCAGCGGCCTCGTCTCGCTTCGACGGCTTTCAGCCTCACCC